CTTTTTGGCTCTCTTGAATCAAAATTCCAGATAATTTGATGTGCATTCATTAACGAGCACAGTTATTTTAAGATACAATTATGTGCATATAAGCTTTTTTTTGAACGGCTTACAATTGAAGGGCAAAGAGATGCACCTTACAATTCGATTTAGAGTTATCGAATCATAAAGTCCTAGTGCAATTATGTGCATATAAGCTTCGATGAATAAAACATGTAAATTTAAATTGCTGAGTTAGTTGAAGATGAAAGGCTTAAAAAATAAAGGGAGTGGGGGACAGTCTACTAGCAGTCGACAGAGGACATTAGCAGGCGAAGACATGATATAAAGGCAAAAGCCCTCATGCTTTTTTACCAATTCAGAAAGTTAATAAAAGCCACATGCTTTTGGAACAGCAACCAAAGCATTATCCTACTGCTATTGGAGTACATGACATACACAAAGATGGGGCACATAGGCAATAGAGAGATAGAATTGAGCAGGATGATTCTGTAATCTAGCATCTAGCAGTCCTTATGGGGATAGGAATTGCTAAAAGGTTGCTAAAGTGCTATATATCACACGAACTGAATCATGAACAGGACGTAAAGGGAGCTAATTGATTAGAGAGCCTGGAAGAACCAACTCAACTTTCTTGGCAAAGCGATAATGGATAACCCAGATGCGGTCTGGTTACCTCTCTAGTAGAAGTTTAGCTATTTAATCAACACCTGCGAGCACTGAACCATCTCATCCTTTACTCTCTGCTTTCTAATTCTTCACCTGAAAGCACTGAACCGTCTCATTCTTCACTCTTTCGTCTTTACACTCTCGCCTATAACAAATACGAATGAATAAGTCAAAGTAGAAATCTTGAAAAATAAAGATAGTCAAACTAGTAGGCTTTTATACATACATACATCCATATATATATGTATATATATATATCAGCACTCATATGATAGGCATTAGAGCAAATAAGAGAAAAGGCAAAGAGTTAATGTTTATGTTAGAGGGCAACGAAGCATTGCCCCCATTTAATCATCAAATCAGCAAGACAACAACGATATCAATTTATCTATCTACTTGATATCACTTGAAAAGAATCCAACAGTTGAGAGCAATATGGTTAAGTGCTGAGGCTCATGGAAAGCTCAGAAATCAAGAACTCTCAGTGAATTTACCATTTGAGATCCCCATACAAAGTCTTACCACGAGTCATCTTAAGCTAAAAACACAAAAAATACTTATCTAAACAATTTCATTTCTTAGACAGTTAGACCTTTGCCGCACCTTTACATGCCATATCAACAAAATAAAAAAAGTTAACAGATGAATATAAGTCATGTGAACACAGATGGAAAATCCATTACTGGTATGACTACATAACAAGCAGAACAAATTCTAGCATTAATAGCAAAAAATTTACCTGAAATCTTTAAGTGACCTCAACAACAGACCCAGAGAAACTAAGTTGCAGCTTCCTCAGCTTGTGTCACATCAGTATGTGAATTTTCAGTGCCTGGAGTGTTGGATGGAGCCAGTTTCTGCTCATCCACTGCCATCACAACAGTTGAAGTCTCTTCACCCAAGGCTCCGGTGGCAGGCAGAGTTCCCTCACACAAGGTGGTGGGCACAGTTGCAGTTTCCATGCCCAAGCTGGCAGCTCCAGTCAAAGTTTCATCAGCAGAGGTCATGGCAACTGTTGAAGTCTCTACACCTAAGGTTGTGGAAGCAGTCTCAATCTCCTTAGAGAGGGTGGCGGCAACAGCAGCAGCTTCCTGGCCAACAGTGGTGGCAACAGTCACAACCTCCTTACTTAAGGTGGTGGTGACAGTCACAGTGTCCTCACCTAAGTTGGTACTAACAGTTGCAGCAGGTTCAACCAACGTGGCGACAATATTAGAAGTATCCCCACTCAGAGTGGTGACAACAGTTGAAGTTTTCTCATCCAAGGTGGTGCCAAGGCTTGAAGTTTCTTCCTGCACAGTGGAGGCAACACTTGCTATTTTCTCCTCTGATGTGGTAGCAACAGTTGAAGTTTCCTCACACACGTTGGTGACAGCAGTTGAAGTTTTCTCATCCGATGAGGTGGCAACACTAGAGGATTCCTTGCCTAAAGCTGGAACAACAGTTGAAGTCTCTTCACCCAAGGTGGTGGCCACAGCAGAAACCTCTTTACCTAAGGTGGTGGCAAAACTTGAAGATTCCTCACCCAAGGCTGCGGAAACAGTTGAAGTTTCATCAGCTACTGTAGCAAATGTTGAAGTTCCATCACCTTCTGTAGCAACTGTCAAACTTTCCCCATCCAAGGGTGTAGAAGCGGTTTGGGTTTCCTTGTCTGAGGTTGTTGCAACAATAGTAGTTCCCTCATCAACAGAAATTTCCTCGCCCACAGTTGTGGTGACATTAAAATCTCCCTCACTGGCATTTGCAGGAGCAGTCAAATTGTGGTCACCGACAGTAGTAGCAATTGTTGCAGTTTCCTCGCCAATAGTTGTGACAACAGTATAAGTTTCCTCATATACAAGTCTAGTTGTATTAACAGTCAAAGTTTCCATGCCTAAGGTCTGAACAGCAGGCAAAGTTTCCTCATATACAGAAGTCACAATTGGAAAATTTTCCCCTCCAAAATTCGGAGCAGAAATTATGGCTTCCTCACCAAAGGTTGGGACAGTGGGTAAAGTTCCTTCACCTAAGCTCGTAGCCAAATGCAAAGTTTCCTCAGTTAAGGGTGCGGGCATTGACAGAGTCTCTTCACCAAGATGTGAAACCATGAATGATGCTTCCTCACCGAGGGTTGGATCAACGAGATGACTGCTCTCACCCAGGGTTGATGCAATAAATGAATTGTGCTCACCCAGTGTTGTGGAAATTAGCTGAGTCTCCTCAGCAAGGGTTGGTGCATACAATGAAGCTTTGAAAGATTCAGATATAGAATAGTTGAGTTGGTAATTTACAGCCACATTTCCAAAAATGCTAAACTTTCCAGCACTATTAAAGGCAACTTCCGCATCAGAACATTTCTTGAAAACCACTCTAGCATGACTGGTTTCACGATCAATTTCTGTCTCAGATTCCTTTAAAGGCCCAAAGTGCCGGAACATCTTATTCAGCTTTGATTCTGAAGGAATGGAATTTACATTAGAGAAGCTCATAACAATTTCCGCTGGGGCATTCTCACTGATATAACCAGGCGGTTTTTCTGCTCCCAGATCATGATTACCGTCAGAATATCGCTTCCTAGACTTGCGGCTCTTTTGAAGTGGTTTCTCTAATTCAACAGGCACAATTTGATAATGTCCTTTATGTGATGGCTGCTCTTCAGAACCATTTTGGACAATCCTGTCAGTCCAATAAGTGTCATTCATATCCTCAAACTCAAAGGTTTCAGATCCAATGACAGCACTGGAGAACTTCCTTTTACCACCTACAGTGTCTCCTGGTAAGTGGTCCAGGACAGCTGAATTTCTGAAATCAGAGAAGAAACTGATGATAATATTTGAAAAAGTGTTATCTGCCAATGGATCACATGCCGCAATCTGAAGTTGTGAAAGCAATTCATCTAGTGATGAGTACTCTGATGGATCAATCATCCTCTTTGTAACGGCATCTCCATAACTGTCAAACTGAGCATCAATTCCATCCCCACCAGGACTATCACCACTTCCGTCAACTTTCTCTATCCTTTCACTACTACCCTTGAGGATAGATGCCGATCCAGTCATTTGGCTGGCAACTCTGCGGATACACTCACCAATTTTAAAGGATGGCTTGGGAGAATTAATAGGGGAATCAACAGCTTTTCGTCTCTTGCCAGAAGATGCAGAAGCCATCTTACTATTAGCTTTCCCGTCTACGCCATTTTCACCATCCAGAGAATCAAATGCATCCCCCATTAATTCAGATAAGCTTCTTTCCTTCTTACTAGGATACATTCCATCCTTCAAATTATGTTTGCGCTTAAGGTATGAGGTTCTCTGTGGTTGTGAAATCTCCTGCCCAGAGGAATCTTTTTGATCATCCTCATCCATGGGAGTTGCATGCTCAATTGCCTCACCAAATTGCATTTTCTCTTCTGGAACTGAACCAGTTTCCAACCCTCCACACAACAGAAATTCAGGCAGCTGATGATAACCCTGTACCCGATAGAAGGCCAACAACTGAGCTTTAGCTATCACAAGATCAAGTCGATCACCACCAACAGATGAAGACTCTGCCAATGCCTTTATATAGTCGACAAACTTTTTGGGCTCAAAAGAAATAGCGCTCAAGGATCTGTCACTGCCATCTTTTACAACATCCCGAACCCCAGCATTCTCCACTATTTGGAATGTGATCTTCTCGTAGACATCCTTTGGTATGCAAGAGCAAGCCAGTCCCCACTCTACTCGTCTGGAGACTTCTTCCAAAGCACAATCAACAGCATTCTGGAATGCTTCCAAATTGCTTTGCTTCTCTATCTGGGAGAAATGTGTTCGGAAGGGCTTCAAAAGAGAAGCTTCATTCCAAGCAAACGTTCGATCACCAAAATATGCCACCAAAAAGCTTTCCTTCTTATGATACTTCATTGCCTTCCCGGATGCATCTGAAGGATCAAATATCTGCCCTGGCCACCATGGATGGCTCCTCACTTTACCCCACACCAAATCTGAAACAGAAAACTCACCTTCATCCTCCAGGGGCAGATGATACTTTGCTTGTTGCACTGTTCCTGAGATCCCAGGTCCTGTAGCTGTCCATTTGCCATTCTTTCCCTCGCTGTTACTTGCCTGCTCAGAATCAGAATTGTATTCTTCAACTTCCATCTCTTTCCCTTGCTGTAAACTAGCCTGTTCACTGCCAGTATCATGGTCGTCAGCACTCGTATCTCGTCCCACTACTTCACCTCCATTACTGAGATTTTCATTGCCACCACCTGCTGCCTCAACCAACTGTTCTTGAACTTTGACATCTTGCTCTAACTGTAAACTAGGGTTCTGAGCATCAGTAAAAGGCTTTTCAACCTTCATTGCTTCCATGGTACCTGAATCAACCTGAGTAGAAGCAGAAGTCATGCTCTGATCTAAGCACTCCTCTGGTTGATTATCCTTCAAATCCTGATCATTCCCTGAGTAAGATAACATCCAATCCAAGTCAACATATTCGGAGAAAGCAAAATATGGATTCAAAAGAATACCATAATCAACTGCAACAACTTCACCTGTTGCAACTTCATGAATATCCAAAGATATATTTCCACGTTTTTCAGCACTCTTACTCTGCGCATCAGCCTTCACCTGCTGCTGCTCAGCATCAGTGCCTTGATTGCGCATTTCTACTTTTGGGTTTGGATTTACCTGCACAACATCATAAGCCATGCTGTGGTCAAAACATTTTCCCATCTTTAACCACTGGTCTAGTTCAGGTGTTGGAAGCACCTTATTGTTAAGCAGATCTCCAACTGATTTAATTTGTTCAGACAAGGGTATTGAATCTGCATAAATATTGCAGAAAATTTCAGTCCTAGCACGAACTGCCAGAAAATATAGCCGCTATTGGAAAACCTAAACCACAACCAAAGTTACTGATTTCCATACCTTTAACTTCAAAAAGAATAACCTCTTCAGTCGTTTTCCCTTCAGCAGCAACTCGTGGCTTAGCATCCAAGGATTTGAGGTTTCCATCAACAGCAGCATCTTTCTCCATTACCGTAGCAGTGGTTTGATCATTATTCAAAGTTGAAGTAATTCCCACCTTATTTGCATCTCCCCCGCCATCATCATTCTCCCCATCCCGTTCTGCATCTTTCCCGGGCTTCTCCTCATTAAAGTTTTGGCTTTCTCCACCCACAGATCCTCCAGAAGCTAGAGAATCTTCATCCCCACCTTCATTGACCTCATTCTGGGCCTTATTATTCAAAATCCCTTCTTCCTGCATCGCGGTTTCTTTAATTGCATCACCCTCAATCACCTCCTTAGCTCTCTGTCCTCCTCCTGCCGCTTCTCCCTTCAAATTCTCATAATTCATCACTGATGCTCCCTCACATGTAGCCTGACTCTCGAGATTTAATGACCCTCTACTGCCAGGAACCGCTTTATCATTGGAATCACCCCCAAACCCACCTCCACCATCAGTAGTACAAATACCATCAACATAGACATGGGAACCCAAAACTTCCACCATTATATCATCCCCATTACAAGAATCCCCTTCCTCTCCCTCCACACCCTCAGTGAAAGATCCCTCAACCTGACCCTGAACATCACAATCCATAGACTCAACTACAGTTTCACTCCCACCAACTACACGTTCACTACCGGTCACTGTTGATTCTTTTGCATTTCCCGCAGGTACGCCCTTCTCCTCTTGTTCATCCATCAAAACCATATCTGGGAATTTTCCAAAACCATCAAAAACCCACCTTTTCAATTGAAATTTAAACCCAAAAAAAAAAAAAAAAGCAAAAAAAAAAAAAAAAGAATAAAAAGAAAGAAAGAAACAAAACTACTTGAACAGATAAAAAAAGAAAGAAAATTTTCCACGCATGCTTAAGAAGAAAGCGAAAGGTGCAATCTTTAGAGCGAAATCATCAAGAAAAAGAAAAAGGGTCGAAAATTATGGGTGTACCTTGCATAGATCTTGAAGAAATAGAAGGAGCTGAGAGGGTTTGGGGTTTTGAGGAGAGAGGGGAAGTGTAGTGTTTTTTCAGTAAAAAAATAAACGAAGTTTGGTTTTGTTTGTCCAGTGCACGACTAAATAAGAGATACAATCCAGTCATCCATATTCCAAACAGACGAAAATGAAAAAATTAAAGAAGGCCCGAATATTATGGCTTCCTCTTGTCCTTTTATTCATAGTTCAGTGATTGGTCACCACTCTCAGCTTTCTTTTTTACGTTCTTTTTGTCGGTTAGAAATCGTGGGTCAAGGCGCAATGGAATGGAGCCAGATCTCAATTTGGAGAAGTGAATTTTCACTTCTGTGTAGAACGTGGCGTGTCGTGATTGGGTGGTCAGTTAATTTTTGGGATCGACATGTTAATGTGTGGAAGTAATTGTTTTCCTATATTTCTGACGCTACTAGATTTTTAGATAAAAGATGAAAACTTTGGTTGAGGTGTCATCTCATATGCCGTACAGTGGTTGTTTGTGTCATCCAATTTGAACTACTTTTTCTTTTGGTATATAGGACCTTCGGTGTCCTGGAGTCGACTTTAGTCACTCCACACTAATTCCTCCCCAGCATTCTCCAGCAATTTTAAGAGAACACAGTCAGCACACCCAAGATTAGCTTAATACATTCAAAGAAACTAATCCTTAGACTTCATCTATAAACCTATTTAATCTTAACTTAGAACATGAAGAGTTGTTCTTCTTCTTCTTCTTCTTTTGTTCTTTTTTTTCTTTTTGAAAAACACTTAGAGTGTACTTCCATCAACTTAAGAGGTATCATAATTGATAAAATTTTTCTAACTTGTATGTTGATAGGTGTAATAAATATAGTTTTTATTATAAATTTGTGTAAAAGAATAAAAATTTATTTTTAATTTATCAATTATTTAATTAAATTCATTCGTGTAACAACAATACTAAAACTAATGTTAATTTTTAGATTTTTATTTATAAATTTATGACGAACAAGTTCCCTTTCAGGTTTGAAAAACATTATTTGATAATAGACAAATTATTTACCATGCGATTACAAATTACAAGATTCATAAGAAAACTACAGAATGTATTCATCATAAAAGTGAGAGGATGGAATGAGGGGAAGCTACAGCAATTTCAATTGAAGAGAAATGATACAAGGCAAAAGCCCTCATGCTCTGCTACTGCTTCACAAGTAAATAAATGTCAAAGTGCTTTTATAACAACTCAGGCGATGAACCAAAGCAATTATTCTACTGCAATTTCAGAACATGACATACATAAAGATGAGGCACATAGACAATAGAGAGATAGAATGAAGGGGCATAATTCTCTAGTCTAGAATCTATTAGTCCTCATAGGATAGCAATTGCAAAAAGGTTGGCTAAAAGGCTACTATATTACACTAGCTGAATCTTGACCGTAACATGAAGTATCTATCTAATGGTCTGGTTACCTTCGCCAGTAGCAAGTCTAACTACTTATGATTAACACCTGAGAGCACTGAACCATCTCATCCTTTACTGTCTGCTCTCCAATTCAGCACCAGAAAGCACAGAACCATCTCAATTCTTCACTGGTTACCTTCTCACCTATAACATATATGAATGAATGAATAAAAGTGGGAATCATGAAAAATAAAAATGTCATAGAGTAGGTGTTAAAGCCAAGGGTAATGTTTATATCATGGGGCAATGAAGCACTGCCCCCTACAGTCATCCAATCAGCAAGACAACAATCATATTAATTTATACATCTACTTATAACACTTAAATGGAATCCAAGAGACGATATCAGTATGGTTGAGTGCCAAGGGTCATAGAAAGATCATAAATCAAGAACTTGGGGACCTCAAGAGGTAAAATAACAGATACTCCAATCTACCATTAGAGATCCCCCAACAAGGTCTACCACAAGTTATCTTATACTAAAAACACAAAACCACTTATCTAAATACTTCCATATCTTAGACCTATGTCCCCACCTTGCATGCCATATCAACTAAACAAAAATGCAACAGATGATTAAAAGTCATGTGAACTCATAGAAATGTAACAGATGGAACTACCATTACAGGCATGACTGCATTATCCAGAAGCAAATAATGAAAACAATTCCAATATTAATAGCATAAAAATTTACCTGAAATTCTTCAATTGACCAAAACAGTCAACAGCGCACCTAGAGACACTAAGTTGCAATTTCCTCAGTTTGTGTCACATCAGTTGGTATATTTTCAGTGCCAGGAGCATTGGATGAAGTCAGTTTCTCGTCATCTACTGCCATCACAACAGTTGAAGTTTCCTCACCCAAGACTGGGGTGGCAGATGGAGTTTCCTCAGACAAGGAGGTGGGAACAGTAGCAATCACCATGCCCAAGGTGGCAGCTTCAGTCAAAGTCTCATCACCTAAGGTGGTGGCAACTGTTGAAGTCTCTACAGCTGAGGTTGTTGCAGCAGTCTCAGTCTCCTTAGAGAGGGTGGTGGCAACAGTAGCAGCATCTCGGCCAACAGTGGTAGCAACAGTCACAGTCTCCTCACTTAAGGTGGTGGTGACAGTCACAGAGTCCTCACCAACGTTGGTACTAACAGCCGCAGCCCCTTCAACTGAGGTGGTGGCAACATTAGAAGCTTCCCCACTCAGAGTGTTGACAACAGTTGAAGATTTCTCATCCAAGGTGGTGGCAAGGGTCAAGGTTTCCTCCTGCACAGTGGTTGCAACAGTTGTGGTTTTCTCCTCCGATGTTGCAGCAACACTCAAGGTTTCCACAACAGTTGTGGTTTTCTCCTCTGATGTGGCAGCAACACTTGAAGTTTCCTCACCTACTGCTGAAACAACAGTCTCTTCACCCAAATAGGTAGCAACAGTTGAAGATTCCTCACACACAGTGGTGACAACAGTTGAAGTTTTCTCTTTCAAGGTTTCCTTGCCTAAAGCTGAAACAACAGCTGATGTCTCTTCACCCACGGTGGTGGCAACAGCAGGAACCTCTTCACCTAAGGTCGTGGCAATACTTGAAGATTCCTCACCCAAGGCTGTGGGAACAGTTGAAGTTCCATCACCAGATGTTGTCACAACTGTCAAACTTTCCCTATCCTGGGGTGTAGCAGAGAGTTGAGTTTCCTTGTCTGAGGTTGTTGCAACAATTGACGTTCCCTCATCCACAGTTGTGGCATGAACAGACATTTCCTCACCCACAGTTGTGGCAACATTCAAATTTCCCTCACCTGCATTTGAAGGAGCAGTAGAATTGTTGTCAACAACAGATGTGGCAATTGTTGCAGTTTCCTCCCCTACAGTTGTGACAACAGTTGAAGTTTCCTCATATATAGTTGTAGTAGTAGAAAAAGTCAAAGTTTCTCTGCCTAAGGTCTGAACAGCATGCAGTGTTTCCTCATATGCACTTGTCACAATAGGAAAATTTTCCCCTCCAAAGGTTGGATCAGAAATCATAGCTTCCTCACCAAAGGTTGGGACAGTGGGTGAAGTTCTTTCACCTAAGCTTGTGGCCAAATGCAGAGTTTCCTCAGTTAATGGTGCTGGCATTGATAAAGTCTCCTCATCAAGGTGTGAAACCATGAATGATGCTTCCTCACCAAGGGTTGGACCAATGAGATGACTGCTCTCGCCAAGGGTTGATGGAATGAATGGAGTGTGCTCACCTAGTGTTGTGGGAATTAGTTGAGTCTCCTCAGCAAGGGTTGGAGCATACAACAAAGCTTTGAATGATTCAGATATAGAATAGTTGAGCTGGTAATCTACAGCTACAGATCCAAAAATGTTAAACTTTCCAGAACTATTAAAGGCAACTTCCGCATCAGAACATTTCTTGAAAACCACTCTAGCACGGCTGGTTTCACGATCAATTTCTGTCTCAGATTCCTTTAAAGGCCCAAAGTGCCTGAACATCTTATTCAGCTTTGATTCTGAAGGAATGGAATTTACATTAGAGAAGCTCATAACAATTTCTGCTGGAGCATTCTCACTGACATAACCAAGCGGTTTTGCTTCTCCCAGATCATGATTACCATCAGAATATCGCTTCCTAGACTTGCGGCTCCTGTGAAGTGGTTTCTCTAATTCAACAGGCACAATTTGATATTGTCCTTTATGTGATGGCTGTTCTTCAGAACCATTTTGGACAATCCTGTCAGTCCAATAAGTATCATTCATATCCTCAAATTCAAAGGTTTCAGATCCAATGATAGCACTGGAGAACTTCCTTTTACCACCTACTGTGTCTACTGGTAAGTGGTCCAGAACAGCTGAATTTCTGAAATCAGAGAAGAAACTGATGATAATATTTGAAAAACTGTTATCTGCCAATGGATCACACGCTGCAATCTGAAGTTGTGAAAGCAATTCATCAAGTGATGAGTGCTCTGATGGATTAGACATCCTCTTTGTAAAGGCATCCCCATAATCCTCAAACTGAACATCAATTCCATCCCCAGTGGGACTATCAATACCTCCTTCAAGTTTCTGTAACCTTTCACTGCTACCCTTGAGGATAGATGGAGACCCAGTCATTTGGCTTGCAACTCTGCGGATACACTCACCAATTTTGAAGGATGGCTTGGGAGAATTAACAGGGGAATCAACAGCTTTTCTTCTCTTGCCAGAAGATGCAGAAGCCAGCTTACTATTAGCTTTCCCATCTAAACCATTTTCACCATCCAGTGAATTGAATGCATCACCCATTAATTCAGACAAGCTTCTTTCCTTCTTACTAGGATACATTCCATCCTTCAAATTATGTTTGCGCTTAAGGTACGAAGTTCTCTGGGCTTGTGAAATCTCATGGCCAGAGGAAACTTTTTCATCATCTTCATCCATGGGAGTCACACGCTCAATTGCCTCGCCAAATTGCATTTTCTCATCAGGAACCGAATCACTTTCCAACAATCCCCCACACAATTGAAATTCAGGCAGCTGATGGTAACCCCTTAATCGATGGAAGGCCAACAACTGAGCTTTAGCAATCACAAGATCAAGTCGATCCCCACCAACAGATGAAGACTCTGCCAATGCTTTTATATAGTCAACAAACTTATTGGGCTCAAAAGAATTAGCACTCAAGGATCTGTCACCACCATCTTTTACACCATCCTGAACTCCAGTATTCTCCACTATTTGGAATCTGATCTTCTCATAGACATCCTTTGGTATGCAAGAGCAAGCCAGTCCCCACTCTACCCGTCTGGACACTTCTTCCAAAGCACAATCAACAGCATTCTGGAATGCTTCCAAATTGCTCTGCTTCTCTATCTGGGAGAAATATGTTCGGAAAGGCTTCAAAAGAGAAGCTTCATTCCAAGCAAATGTTCGATCACCAAAATATGCTACCAAAAAGCTTTCCTTTTTATGATACTTCATTGCCTTCTCGGATGAATCTGAAGGATCAAATATCTGTCCTGGCCACCATGGATGACTCCTCACTTTACCCCACACCAAATCTGACACAGAAAACTCACGTTCATCCTCCTGGGGCAGCTGATACTTTGCTTGTTGCACTGTCCCTGAGATCCCAGGTTCCATAGCTGTCCATTTAACATTCTTTTCCTCACCGTTACTTGCCTGCTGAGGATCAGGATTGTATTGTTCAACTTCCATCTCTTGCCCTTGCTGTAGAATAGCCTGTTCAGTGCCAGTACCTTGCTCGTCAGCACTCATATCTTGTCCTACAATAGAATCAACCGCAGGGAAACCATAAGGTGCCCTCTGATCCATGCATTCTCCAGACTTCAACTGTGGATTCAAATCTGTGTCATTCACACGTGCTACTTCACCTCCATTGCTAAGATTTTCATTGCCACTACCTACCATCTCAACCAATTGTTTTTCAACTGGTTTTTCAACTTCCATTGCTTCCATGGTACCTGAATTGACCTGAGCAGAAGCAGAAGTCATACTCTGGTCAAAGCACTCCTCAATTCCAAGTTGTTGATTATCCTTCAAATCCTGATCATTCCCTGAGTAAGACAACATCCAATCCAAGTCAACATATTCAGAAAAATCAAAATATGGATTCAAAATAATAACATAATCAACTGTGACAAGTTCACCTGTTGCAACTTCATGAATATCAGGAGATATATTGTCATGATTTTCAGCCCTCCTGCCCTGCGCATCAGCCTTCACCTGCTGCTGTTTAGCATCAGTGCCTTGATTGTGAATTTCTTTTATTGGATTTGGATTTACCTGCGCAACATCATAACCATGCTGTGGTCAAAACATTTTCCCATCTTTAACCATTGGTCTAGTTCAAAAGTTGGAAGCACCTTATTGTTGAGCAGATCTCCGACTGATTTAGTTTGTTCAGACAAGGATATTGAATCTGCATAAATATTGTAGAAAATTTCAGTCCTTGCCCCTACTGTCAGAAAGTCTGGCTGCTTTTCAGCCTGTTCTTTGTTTGGAAAACTTAAACAATGACCAAAAGCAATGATTTTCATACCTTTAACTTCAGAAAGAATAACCTCTTCTGTAGTTTCCCCTTCCGCAGCAACTTGTGGCGTTGCACCCAAGGATTTGAGGTTTCCATCAACATCAGCATTTTTCCCCACCACCCCAGCAGCAGTTTCATCCATTGATGCCTGTTTGCTACTCGAAATTATTCCCACCTTATTTGCTTCTTCCCCGCCATCATCCTTCTCCCCACCATGTTCTGCATTTATGCCGATCTTCTCCTCAATCACCTCCTTAGCTCTCTGTCCCCCTGCTGTTGCTTCTCCCTCTAAATTCTCACATGTAGCCCCAGTCTCAGGATTTGATGATCCTCTACTGTCTGAAACAAATTTATCATTTGAATCGCCCCCAAACCCACCTCCACCATCAGTAGTACAAATACCATCAACATAGACATGAGAACCCAAAACCTCCACCATTATATCATCGCCATTACAAGAACCGCCTTCCTCTCCCTCCATGCCCTCAGCGAAAGATCCCTCAACCTGACCCTGAACATCACAATCCATAGACTCAACTACAGTTTCACTCCCACCAGCTACATGTACACTACCGGCCACTGTCGATTCTTTAGCATTTCCCGCAGGCACACCCTTCTCCTCCTGTTCATCCATCAAAACCATATCTGGGAATTTTCCAAAACCATCAAAAACCCACCTTTTCAATTGAAATTTAAACAAAAAATCTATATACCCTAACAACAAAACAAAACTACTTGAACAAAAAAGAGACAGAAAATTTGGCACACATGCATAAGAAGAAAGCGAAAAGGCGCAATCTTAAAGTGAAGTTATCAAGATAAAAGAAAGGGTCGAAGATTATGCGTTTACCTTGCATAGATCTTGAAGAAACAGAAGAAGCTGAGGGTTTGGGGTTTTGAAGGGGGTGCCAAATTATTCCCTTTTTTTCTAAGGAAAAAAAAAATGGTGTACTTATTAGATCCAAAGAGATGAAATCATGACAATGAAAAAAATAAATAAATAAACTAAGGCCCGAATATTACAGGTTCTCGTCTGTTGTTTAACTTTCCATTGATTGTTCGCCTCAACAGTGATGTATCAATACACAAACAGGTACTAATTTAATATATAAAATATTGCATTATAAGTGAATTTTAAATGAAAAATATATTATTATTATATTAATTATTTAAATAATTCAGTGTATCTCTTTTTACTAAAAATAAAGTATTTGAATTTGAATCATATAACATATAAATAGAGTGAAATAAAATATGAGAAATGATTACTTTTTATTGTGCAATAAAAAAAATTGTTATCATAAATTAAGTTTTTATATTATATACCTTTACGATATAAAATTAATATGTATTTATTACATTTTTTTATTATTAATAGACATAATAAAATTAAAAAATAATATTAATTTTATTAATTATCTAATAGAAAATATCTATATCATAAATATTAAAATGAATATTATTTATTTATTTATTTATATAAATTAATATATATAATATATTTAAAACTCTTTTAACACCAATCTTTTTTTTGAACAAATCTTTTAACACCAATCTTAAGACACATATTAACTAAACTCTTATAAATTTATATCACACTCACACATGAAATTATAATTATATTATTGTCCATCGGTCACTGCCCTCAGCTAACGTTTTTACGTTGGTTTTTCGGATAGGTTGGGTCAAGCTGCAATGGAATGGAGCCAGACCTCGATGTTGGAATAGATGTAGAACGTGGCGTGTTGGGATTGGGTGGTGAGTTTACATTCTGTGAAATACCTGTTAATGTGTGAAAGTAATTGCCTTTATATATTTTTTTTTCTGATAATTTTTTAGATAAATAAATAAATAAATTTTTGAATTTATATTTTAAATATATAATTTAAGAATCTAAAAATATGTTTTTTATAATTATTTTTATAAAAATAATAAAAATTAATTTTTAAATAATATTATTATATAAATCATTTTAATTAATTAATTTTAATATTTTATTTTAATATAAATTTATTATATAAAATATATTTAAAAATTCATAAATAAATAAATTTAAAAAATATTTTACAAAATAAATTATATGTAATTTATTTTATAAAATTATTTAAATACTTTTAATTTTATATTTATATTATTTTGTTAAAAACTTTAAAATTAAAAATATTTAAATACTTTTATAAAATAAATTACATACATTCTACTTTATAAAATAGTTTTCTGTAAATAAATTTAGTTGAGAGGTGTGTCAGCTTACGTGCGGCGCAGTGGGCGTCAGTGTCATCCGACCTCGACTTGGAACAAGGAGAGTGGGCCGCCGTCAACCGCATTAGTGATTAAGTTAGGAGAGGTACCATATTGATCAAAAGACAAATTATGTAAAGCCATGACTACAAGACTCATATTAAGATAATAATTTCTTCACTTTCCAAGAAGTCGAACATGGTCAACTAATTTAGAAATCGACCCACTTTCGAATACTTTAGATATATTCGGTTTTTAAAAAAAATTGCAGAGAATAATTATTTAATTGACTAAATTATAATAGTAACAAACAATATCATTTAATTAATTAAAAATTTTATTTATCTTTTATTTCTTTTATTTCTTTTAAATTAAACATACTTTTTAATCAGGTTAACAAAAAAGAAACATCTATAGTCACATACTGGCAGCGAATCACTACTCAACCTTCTCAAGTGATTTATGACGAACTGCCCCCATGAGTCATAAGTCATGGTACAAAGATTCATAAGGTACAAAAATTTTATTTTATTTTTTTGAATAGTATACAATTGGGAGAGAAAGAGTTCTTTTTCCAAATGTTGGTGGGATCAAAATCTCGACTAACCAATTTAAGCACTTTAAGACTTGAGAATGAACTATTTAATCTCGCAAGTTCAATTTTATGAGGTACAAAGATTCATAAGCCAAGCTTTAGAGATTAATATTCAAAAAGAAAAAAAGAAAAAAGGAAAAAAAGAAGGGAGTCGAGCTTTAGAGACTGGAATCTTACCTCAGTATGCACACGACTCAAGCCTCTCTAATTGGAATTCCTCCCAAAATTTCACGTTCAAAGAAGAAAGAAGTGAAAGAAACGGGCCCAACCTTTACAGGATCCATTACCGTATATGCAGGCCTATCTAAAAGGGACAACCATTAACCAAGAAATAATTGGGCCAGACGAATAATCTAGCCCATTGTCAACTCTTCATTGGGCTTGTATCTCGATTACTGGAACTCTCTCTCTAGTCTCAAATGCATCCCATGTCATGTGTATTCCATGGTTGTGTTATCTATTCATTCTTGATTTCCTTTGAAATAAGTTATATGTGAAGATTTTGAGAAGTTATCATAAATAGATTGAAAAAAGAGTTTGAACCCGAAATCTGTAGAATTATTAATTCGTTTTAAATTTTCAGATACACTTGAATTTGTTTGAAACAAATATTCAAAAAAATGGCATGTAATTCATTTTTTTTGCTTGTTCGTTCCATACATGATTCCATATTAAGTTACATCCTAATATGATCATAACTGTTACATAATTCTTATCCTAGCTAGTTTAATGATCCTTTTAAAGTATGCTTATCAAAAAATAATTGCATGAATCAACATGAGAAATCTATATCTAAAAATTAAGATTTCATTAATAATGGTTGTGACTTTGCGTTTTTAATTTTAACTTTTTTTTATAAATTTTGCAACTAATGAGAATCAAATTTTAAAATATTTACTTGTTTAATAACATTTAAACAAATTTTTTTCTTTTTTCTCTAATAATCATAATAATATGTTACAAAAATAAAAAAAATGTAAACAAGTTTTTTTGTTTAGAATTGTAAAATTTATGAAAATCAGAACCAAAAACTTAAAACCGTAACCATAAAAGAGAAGAGATCCAAGATATATATAGAAATTGAAGCCATAAAAGGCAATTCATGACATATGGTGAAGTGTTATCCAATCTACTTAACGGAAATTAATTACGAAATTAGTTTGGATATTATAAAATAAAAGAAAAGTGAAAATTAAGATGGACTTCTTGTAAAATCATTCAAATACTCTTAATATATATTCCTTGCATGCTGATTCATCAAAAGTATTTCAATTTTTTCATTATTCTTTATGATATTTTAATTGTCAAAACATCTTAATTTTCTTTATTATTTAATATATATATATATATAGAGAGAGAGAGAGAGAGAGAAAGTAATAAAAAGTGCAAGCTTGATGTAGAAACTGAAGCTATACAAACTTAAAAGCAACCCATGAGATATGGGCGAATTAGCATAAGATATGACTTCTATTACATTAGGGGTTTCAAATGTTCATAGCTCAAAAGCTTACATTGTTAGAGGGGGATGGTTGGGAATGAAAGAATATTATAAAACACCTAAATAAGAATAATAATTAAATATTTAATAAAATAAATTTGAGTTCAAAAAAAAAAAAAAAAGAGAGGAAAATTATGGAAAGAAAGAGCCACAACAGATCAGATAATAATGTTGCTCTGAGCAGCTTCCATCCTCCCCTTTGTTATTATTTGCCAGCTAAGTCCCCTTCTTTATGCCCTCACCTGTTCCAACTGCACCTATTCCACAGCCAAACAAACTGTCTTTGTAATATCAGTTCATATTAATTCTCTATATATATCAAACTGACAATCATATATTTTTCTATATATAATTGATTTGTCCCTCAATAACCTTATATATTTCAACTAATAAAAACTCTAAATTCTAAATTTAAAATTTGCAGAAATTTGTGTACCATTTGACATATTAAAAGTAATTTTACATTTTTACATAAAAACAAAAATTAAAAATTTTTTTATTAACAATTAAAGTGTTTTAATATCAATTTTTATATAATTCGAAATTATTTACTTTCTTGATGATCTTAAGGGTATATTCTTTATATCAACTTAATACATTTAAAAAAATTAATTTCATTAGGTGCTACTTTAAGACTTAAATTCAACTTAAAAAATGATATTTATTTATTAGTGAATTTTATTATTGAAATGCTATTATTATGTTTAAGCGAAAATGATCGTTTTACTGAGTATTCTTTTAAATATTTATGCAGCCACATGGGTATCCTTAAAAATCCAGCTGGCAGTGGACCAACCTAGAATGCCATGCGCACGTGACACAATTATTCGGACACAAACACACATGTTCTGGGAATCAACTAGGAGGGGACATGCCAACATGTGATGTGAGCCACATCCAAGATCACCATTCAAAATGTATGTAAATGATGTACCTGTGTTGGGAGCAATCGACACAGGTTTCGAGATGATCGCCGGAACTGTGGTCATGGGCCCCGCCGTCGTTGGTGGAAAGATGTGGGCCGGCACGCCCATCGTCTGTGTTTGATGATGGTAGTGATACATCGGGTACATCGGCATCAATGTGTT